CAGTCCTTGGCCTCAGGGAGCTCTTTTTCCACACATGATTTTTATTTATAAAACATAAAGAATAATCAAAAGATAAATCAAGCATAACCTGGAGGAAGATGTGGTTATGACGTTACAGTCTGGGAATGCTTCCTGAAGGAGATGTTGAGACTCAAGGATAATGTTCTGATCACCTCCTATTCACCCCATTGATTAAGGGTGGATTCTCCCACCCTAAATAACACAAGATGACCAAACACATGACATTTGACACTGGACAGATGAGACTGACAGCATTTAATTAGTCACATATAGTCACAGCCTGGAGGAAGACACCACACACCCTGGAGGGCCACACAGGAGTTGCACTTGGGAATAGAGTAAACCAGCAGGGGCTGTGGGAGGCAGACTTTGTAGTCACAAGAGGGTGGGGTGACCCTTGGTTCCCATGGGATGATGTGATTGGCTTGCTTGAATAATTCTGTGCGCTGGTAGGGAGGTGAAACCTGTTGGGTTGAGAATCGGGGATGCAGCTGGTCCAGCTGACAGAGGAGCTGACGGGGTGGGGAGCCTCTCCTGCTTGGTGCAGCAGCAGGGGAGTACCTCTGGTAAGAACAGAGGAACGCACGGCCAGGCCTATGGGGACCCATGAGGCTTACAGATGTCAATGCAGCACAGGGATTTTCAGGCTTTGTAATACAGGAGCCTAATAAATAACACCCCTCTTCTCCAATTAGGTTCTAAACCAATTGAAAAATAAAGCAAAATGATAAGAAAGATGGATGGCCAAACTCTCACCTTTGCCCTGATGATGCTGATTTTGGAGAATGGGGCTTTTATCTTTGGGCATGAGGACCACTTCATACTCAATCCCAGAATTAGATAGGCCAGGTGCATAAACTGACACATGTAGGGTGGGAGAAGCACAGGCCTCCCTGTTCATTTCAGTTTACCCCTTGGTGGGATATGCCTGTCCTACTACGTGGAAATATCAGAAGGGCCACCCAATACTGTTTCCATATGCCGCAGCCAGAAGAAGAACCAGATTCATACAGAGAGGGCCCAGAAGAGGTGCCATTTCAAGTTATAAAGACCCTAGAAGGACAGCATTGGCCTCAGGAAACACATCCAAGCAGATAGCGGCAACAAAGACCTTGCAGATGAATGAGTCATGGGAAAAGGGAAATGATCTATTTAAACATGCCTTATGTATGTTTACCTTCTCAGAACCTGACAAAAAGCCTGAGAAGCTGTCAGTAAGGTTATTATTATCCCCATCTCACAGATGAAGAAGCTATATCCCAGGAACATAAGTGATTATCCAGGTGCACAGCTGGAATCCAGGTCTTCCGAATAACCCCTAAGCCAGTGTTTTTTCTTTCTGATTTACTTGATGACAACTATGAATTTTTGGAACATCTTACAGAATGAGGAAGATGTTATGGGATGATAAAGAATTAGAATTTAAGAGTTGACAACAGAATGAGAATGTGAATATTCCCTTTGGCATTGGTTACTAAGATACATTCCATGATGGAACATTAAGTCTCGAATTCATTCTGCATTATGTAAGGACTTTACCTCAGTATGGTGGGCAGAACAATGGTCCCCCACCCCTGAATGATAACCACATCCTAACCTGTGCATATGTTACATTACATGCCAAGGATAAATTAAGATAGCATATGGAATTAAGATTGTTAATCAGCTGATCTTAAAAGAGGGAAATTATAGTGGATCATTTTGGTGGGCCTAATGTAATCAAAAATGTCCTTAACTGTGGAAGAGGGAGGCAGGAGGCATCAGTGTCAGAGTGATACAGCGTAAGAAAGACTTGACTGGCCCTTGCTGGCTTTCAACAGGGAAGGGGTCACAAGGAATGCAGGCAGCCCTAGAAAAGGCAAAACCGAAACAACAACAACAATAAAAAAAAGCAACAGGTTCTTCCCTTAAGACCTGTAGAAAGAAATGCCACCCTGCCAACACCTTGATTTGACGCAGGCAGCCCTAGAAAAGGCAAAACCGAAACAACAACAACAATAAAAAAAAACAACAGGTTCTTCCCTTAAGACCTGTAGAAAGAAATGCCACCCTGCCAACACCTTGATTTGAGCCTTGTGGAAACCATGTCAGACCTCTGACCTCCAAAACTGCTAAGTTTGTATCATTCAAGTCACTAAGTTTTTGGTAATTTTTTATAGCAGCAATGGGAAACTAATTTGCTCAGTCATCACAGAGAGACAGTGATTGTGAGATGTCCCTGCCCCAGTGGAGGATAGCCCAGCCATCTGTCCCACTCTCCAGCTCTGTGAGACCCAGGGAGGTAATGCGGGTTGATGTGGCAAGGCTGGGTCACATGGCGGGGGTGAGGAACTCCTGCACACACTGTGCATATTTATATATCTAGCTGGGGTCCAGCCACGGGTTGGGATGGGATCCAGCTTCATCCTAGATCTTTGAGAAGCTACAAGCTGGGGAGAGCCATGCTGCCATGGGTCCCCTAATGGAATTCAATGGGTCAGAGCCACCAGTGGGCAGGGGGTAGACAAGAGAAAATGAAGCAGATAGTTTGCAACAGCATTATCACCAGAGAGAGGGATAAATAACATGGCAGAAGGCCTTCTTAGTCCAGTCAGAAACTTGGAAAGATGACCAAAAAGTCTGATTACAAAGGAAAGGTAAGTTGGATAGAATTTTCTGCAGATGACTTCTTGCTCTTGGTCCCACCTGACTCCAGCTCCAGGTATGGGATACACACTCATTTCCAGGGTTTTCTTTCTTCCCTGCCCCTCATGCCTCTTATCTTCCTCCCTTTCTCCCACCCCCCACCCCCACCTCGCTGCCATAAAATGCACAGAAATTATTCCAGGGCACCAAAGTATCTAAGTAGGTCTCTCTGGAAAGAAGGTATTTAACCAACAGAAATGAGCTCATTTCCCACAAACCGCTCCAACCTCTTTCCCGGGTAGTATGGCTTATTGGAAAGAACAGGGCTAAAGTTTTATGGTGTCAAAGTGACTTAACATACCCTCTCCTTTGAGTGCGAGATGGCCCAGGGAGGTGGGTATAAAACTTTGCATTGGGAGCCAGGATTCTGCTGCACGATGTGAGCTTGGGCAAGTAACTTATTTCTCATTAGAATCTTTCAATTGCACTGCAATCCCGCCTCCCACTTTCCTGCCTCTGCAGGATGATGCCTAGTGGCAGGAAGAGAAAGTCCTTGTCCACTGCCCTGAGAAAGGCCCCCACCTCTCTCCAAGGTGCCTGGCCCTTCCTCCTCTAGACCGTGAAGAATTTGTAATGAATAGCTTCCAGAACATTATATTCTTGCGCAGAAGAGCAACATTGAAACCCAAGGTGATATAATAGGGCTCTTCATAATAATAATAGGCCACAAGTATTTATTGAACACCTACTATGCACAAAGCATTTTACAAACATTACGGTATTTAATGTTCACAGCAGCCCTGCAAGTCAGTTGTCACTTTATCCCATGTTGCATTTGAGGAAATGAATCTCAGACAGATTGGGTAATTCCTCCCAGACCCTAAAGCCAATCTGGGAAAAAGCCGGGATTTATCCAGCCTGTTTGACCCAAAGCCTGTTCTGTTTCCACTAAACCATTCCACCGCTCCCAAGGAAGTTGCTGAAATAAGATGCAGCTGGGTGACAGGTACCTGGGGGTTCATTGTGACATGCTGCTGCTTTTGCGCGTGTCTGGGGTCAGTCGAGAACTCGCAGTGTTTCCAAGCGTCCGTCACTACGGTCGCGTCTCTCCCCTGCCAGGTACCTGGCCATCGTTCACCCCCTGAAGCCCCGGATGAACTGCCACACGGCCTCGCTCCTGATCGCCCTAGTGTGGGCGGTGTCCATCCTCGTCGCCGTCCCCTCGGCCTACTTCGCCACAGAAACCGTGCTCTTCATCGTCAGAAAGCAGGAGAAGATCTTCTGCGGCCAGGTCTGGCCCGTGGACCAGCAGCCCTACTACAGGTCCTACTTCCTCTTCCTCTTCGGCCTGGAGTTCGTGGGCCCCGTGGTCGCCATGGCCGTGTGCTACGCCCGGATCTCCCGCGAGCTGTGGTTCAAGGCGCTGCCCGGGGTGCAGACGGAGCAGGCGCGCAGGCGGCTGCGCGG